GGGTTCCCGGTTCTGGGTTCCCAGGTTCCCGGTGCCGGATTCTCGGCGAAAGTGGGCGGCCGATTTCGGTAGGCGGCCGGGTTGGCGGGTTCCTTGTTTGGGGTTCCTGGGTTCACCGGTTCCCGGTTCCAGATTCTCGGCGAAAGTGGGAGGCCGATTCCCGGGTTCCCGGGTTCTTTGTTTGGGGTTCTTGGGTTCCCGGTTCCGGGTTGTTGGTTCTTGGCCGATTTCGGTGGGTGGCGGGGCTCCCAGGTTTCTGGGTTCCGGGCATCCTTGTCGATCTCCTTATCGATAGGTCTCACCATCGATCTCATCTATCGATATCACAATCAATCTCGCAATCGATCTCACTATCGATCTCACCATCGATCTCACTATAGATCGCATGAGCGATCTCACGATCGATCTCACTATCGATCTCATTGAATCGACTTCACTATCGGTCTCACGACCGACCGAACTATCGTCCTCACTATCGATCTCACAGTCGACCTCAACATCCGTATCACTAACTTTCAAAGCATCCACTGATTGCGGTGTTTCTCTGGTGCCATATATATACATGTATGTGTACACTTTGATGTATCTGGCTTGATCCCCACAAGTCGAATGGAAACGAGTCGTCAAGCCCGTAATCGTGACACATGGGGTCGTTCGGTGATCGCTCCTCCCTCCCTCCCTCCCTCCCTCCCTCCCTCCCTCCCTCCTCCTTCTCCTCCTCCTCCTCCTCCTTTTACTTCTACCTCATCGTACCCTTTCCTCTCCTGCCCCTCCTCCCTGTTCCTTTTCATTCTCCCCGTCTTCCTTGTTCCTCTTCCTCCTCCACTCCTCGTCCCCCATCGTCGCTTAGCCTCATCCTTCTCCTCTGCTCCTCCCCTCCTCCCCCTCCTCATCCTCTCTCTTCTGTCCCGCCCCCCCTCCTCGACCCTCATCCTCCGCATCCTCATCCTCATCCTGCCGTCCCCCGAGATGCCGAACGTTTCGTGACCTGGTTTGGGGAGTGGTCGGGTGGGAGGTCTTGGGACAACCCTCGGCGTCGAAGGGTCGACGCGGGGGTCGTTGCCCTCTGCTCCCGATGGCGTATTCTGGAAAGAAGTCTGCGGTATCGGGTCCTCGATCGGGAGCCGAAGACAGACCCCCGGCCCCCTCTCCCTCCCCTCTCCCCCTCCCCCTCCTCCTCCTCCTCCTCCTCCTTCTCCTCCTCCTCCGCCTCCTCCTCCGCCTCCTCCTCCTCCTCCTCCTCCTCCTCCTCCCTGTGCCGTGCGCGAAGATATAACTGCGCTGGCTGGGGCAATCGGGGCCGAGGTTGGCAACATAAGGTTCGTGACGGACCACAGCCCGCTTCTGGACTCAGGGGCCAGAGGGTTTTCGTCGTGCGAGCTGCCTACAAGCAAGCCTCGTCAAACATAAACAGAAGACTTCTGAATTCGGTGATTGTGGGGTCAGCGCTACTCCAATGCTGACGGATGCCTGTTGACTCGGACGCGGTGTTGTCCAAACAGCGACCCCACCCTCTAAGCATTGAAGAACGCGCGTTCTGACAATTGCCCGACAGCATCGTGCTCCAGGATTTCAATTTCCATGTCTGGGTATTGTTGACGAGGCTTGTAGTAGTGGCGAAAAGCTCGACCTCTGGGCCAGGGTCCAGGTTGCTGCTTCTGCCCTCGGACCAGCCGCCTCTCGCCAGAAAGGGGTGGCCAGCCTGTCCGAGGCCAGGAGGTCCCTCGCGTCTGACCACCAGTGCGCCGACGTGCTTGCGAGCGAGGCTGCCGAGATAAGTTGGCCTTTGGTGGTCGCTTCTGGGGTCTAGGACAAGGGCCGCAGGAGGCCGAAGATGGCCAAACGTTGGCCATCGTGCCTTCTTCTCGAAGCGAGAGTGTCTTGGAGTTCTCCTCGTCTTCATCCTCCCCCCTCCCCACACCTCCCCCCTCCTCCTGCTCCTCGTCCTGCTCCTCCTCCTCCTGCTCCTCCTCTTCCTCCTCCTCATCCTCCTTCTCCCCCTCCTCCGCATCCGCCTCCTCCTCCTCCTCCTCCTCCTCCTCCTCATCCTCCTCCTCATCCTTCTCCTCCTCCTCCCGCGTCGTTGTTGAGCCCATCCCTCGCACCGACAGCCAGGACGCTGAGGCGGGCCTGATCCGTCGTCGAGAGCGCGGAGAGCTCTGGCCGCTTCAGTCCAAGCCGCTCCTTGGACCTCCGAGCGTCCCGAGAGAGGGGGGCCCCTCTGCCCAAGCCGAGGCGAAGGGCTCCGAGCATTCCTGGGGTCGTGCTGGTGCCAGGCATTTATGCCGCAATTGTAGCCGCCTGTTCTCGAAAATAAGAGCCACTGGCTGACGCCGCACCGCCGACCTCTTGGGGTGGCAGTAAGAGTGAAAAACGGAGTTAGCGGAACTCGCGCGATTTCCGGGGAATCTTGGGGTTTCAGCTTCTTGGGATTTTGTCGGGGGGGGGCGGATCGCGGCTCTGCTCTTGGGCTTCTCTGGGCTTTCCTTCCAGCACTTTTGGGGCCTCTTGGGAGCCGTGTTGAGGACTTTAGGGGCATATTTTGGGCATCTCGGGTGCCCCGTGGGAGCCTCTTGGCCGAGTGCTCGCCTCTTCAGGCTTTTTTGGGGCCGAGTGCTCGAAATGTCCATTCGGATTCCCCCTCTGGGCCTCCTCTTGAGGCCGTCTTGGGGCCATCCTGGGCCGTTTTGGAGGCTTCTGGGGCCGTCTTGGGGACGCCGTGACCGCAAGGGGTCGGCGGATTTTGATGGTTCGTGTGTGTGTGTGTGTGCGTGTGTGCGTGTGTGTATGCGTGTGTGTATGGGCGTTTGATGTGCCCCGCAATGTTCCCTGGAGCGTTCGCCTCGTCAGGGACAGAGGCTCGGGGGTGAGGAGACCCACGGCTCCCACGAATTGCAGTGCTGGAGGGAAACTGTGCTGACCTTTTGCACCGTCTGTGGCAGATCGTGCGTCACCAGCCCCGCCAGCTTGTCAAGAGGTGCGGGCCGACCCCGAAGGGGCGGCAGAATCCTGAGAATATCCTAGCGGGGTGGTCCCCCTCGGGCTGTCCGTAAAGGTGAGTCCCAGGGACTTCAGCAGAGAAGTCAGGCATGCAGAAGCCATCGTGCAGTTTCTGTTTTCTGCCAAGTTGCCGATGAGTTCAGTACCGTTTTTTGGTGAAGCCGGGTGTCCGGTGCACTGGCTCTTGCTCCAGCGCCTTCCTCTTGGTGGTGTCAGGTGCCCGGTGCACCAGCTCTTGCTCCAGCACCGTCTTCTTAAGTGGTGCAGGGTGCTGGGTGCACTGGCTTCTGCTCCAGCACCGTCCTCTTGGTGGTGCTGGGTACCGGGTGCACGCGTCGGCCCTTTTGCAAGCCGCAAGCCCAACTCGTTTTGACTTCGCCTTTCCGCTAAACTCACGCCATCTTCATCGTCCCTGAACGTGGTTCCTGGGGAGGAAGATTCCAGGCAGGCTACATCCCTTGTCGCCATGGCTGGATGCGCAGACTCGTCGCTCCAGGTCGGTCCTCCTTCCGCCCGTGTCCGAGGCGGGGTATCAAGTGTCGGCATTCGCTGCCGAGGCAGTCTCGCTTGCTCCCACGGGGGCTCGCAAGGTCCCTCTGAGGTTCCCCTCTCCTGTTGCTCGCAGGCGGCGTCTCTGTGGCGCCAGGGGTCCCAGGGCTCCCGTGGTGGTTCGCAGGTGTTCTCTGAGGGCCCCGTCGCTGTTGAGGTGGCGCTTCGGTGCCGCCCGTGGTGCCCCAGGAGGGTACTTGGCAGGACATTGCGTCGTCTGCAGGCCGTGGGCTCGTTGCTGGCGTCGCCAGCGTCCCCGCCCTCCCTCCCTGGTGGGTCTGGTGCGTCGGCCAGCAGGGTCTCGAGTTTTCTGTGAGGGTCTCTCGAGCGCCCCAGGCTGGCCGCACCGAGTGTGTTGCCCAAAGGTCCGTGCGGGCGCACTGGACCACCCAGGGGGGAGGCAGCCCACTGGAATCTTCATTCTGAATCGTCCTGAACCGTCCTCATCCTCATCCTTCTCCCCTATGGGTTAGGAGGCGGCATGCTCTGCACTGGACGGGGCCAAGCGCCGCAACAACAAACAGTTCGGGACAATTGTGTTGAAGTTTTCGGCCACCACAGGAGGCCGTGTCCCAACCCCACCAGGGCCGCTAGAAAATAAACATCCCCTGATGCAAGAGAGCGGGCCCCCGGGGCCCTGACACAAACAGACGAGAGTGGTATGCCAAATTTCGGCACTTCTGGACCCTCGCCAGGCCCAAGCAAAAAACGAAACCACGCCTCGGGAAGGGGTCCAGACCTCTGTGGAGCAACGTTGCGAAGCAATTCACGACGGATGATGTCTGGGCATGGGGTAAGGGGACCGAGATCCCTTGGGAAAGACATCAAAGACGCGGCGATCGGAGGATGAGGTCTGCGACCACTTGCGAACCCCACCCATACGGTTTCGATCGAAAGTGTGGGGTATCCGACACCCTCCGTTGGGCTTCACTTTGGGATGCAGACACCGTTTGCATTCTGAACTCCAGCGCGTTGTTCAGAATGCCGACCCGCAGGTCAGGGTTCACACGTGGTTGCCTATGAGGGCCCTCCTCCAGACCTCCTGGGGCAACGGTCGGGGGGGATAGGCTGGGAGGATCGCATCGATCCCCAGTCGCCCACCGATTGCCGATAGGGGCACGATAGCCCACCCCGCCCAGGAGCGCGCGGTTTCTGCTTCGGGGGTCCATCGCCGATCTATCGGCGCTGTGTCGCCGATTCCAGCTCGATGTGCTCCTCCCCCGGAGCCAGTCCCCTCGTGGTTCTCCGGCCGCAGCTCGTTCCTCCGGCGGCCGTTCGGGACGATTTGGGCCCCCCGAAGGAAGGCCATCGGCGAGGAGCAGCCGCTGGAGGGCACCGCGAGGCTGGAAAACCGCTGGGACCCGACGAAAGCGCCACAAAACCTGGAACTTCGGATTTCGAACGCTCTCAATGCGGGCCCTGCCCCCCGCAGACCTCCCCGCGCGCCGGAGGCGTCCGTCCTCTTCGATGACAGCCCCTCCTGCGCTCCCGCGCAGGTGCCCGAGCGCCGCCAGGACGTTCGCCGCGCCCGCGGCCGCGAGGGGCCGACAAGGCGGTGGCCTCGCGGGGGGAGGGGCGATGATGATGCTGATGCTGATGCTGATGCTGATGCTGATGCTGATGCTGATGCTGATGCTGATGCTGATGCTGATGCTGATGCTGATGCTGATGGTGATGGTGATGGTGATGGTGATGGTGATGGTGGTGGTTGGTGTGAAGATGCTGGTGGTGATGATGATGGTGATGATGGTGTGATGCTGATGGTGGAGGTGATGAAGATGAAGATGATGCTGATGAGGATGATGATGAGTAGGATGATGGTGTGATGGTAAATGATTATGTTTGATGGTGATGAAGGTAATGATGATGATGGTGGTGGTGGTTATGATGACGATGGTGATGACGTTGACGGAGCTGATGATGGTGGTGACGATGATGGTGAGCGTGGAGGTGATGATAGTTTTCATGATGTTGGTGATGCTGGATGTTGTGGTGGTCATGACGATTATTATGATGATGGTGGTAACGGTGGTGATGATACTGATATGTGTGATGATAGTGGTAATGGCAATGACGATGATAATGGTGATCATCATGATGGTGGTGGTGGTGATGATGATGTTGATGACGATGATGGTTGATGGTGATGATGGTGTTGGTGATGATGATTTTGTTGGAAATGCTGATGGTGGCAATGATGGTGGAGACGGTGGCAGTAATGAATGTGATGATGTTGGTGATGATGATGGTGGAAGGGATGATGATGTCGGTGCTTATGATGGTGGCGGTGGTTGTGCACATGAGAATGGTGATCATGATGTTGGTGGTTCAAGTGAAGATGATGGTGGTGATGATGATGTTGTGGATTATCGTGCTGATGTTGTTGATGGCTATGTTGAGGAAAGTGGTAATCATGAGGATGATCATGGTGGCTGTGATGATGACAGATGTGACAATGATGATCTTGACCGTACTGATGCTCATACTGATGGCTGCGGTGGTAATGATGATTGTGGTTGTGGTGATCAGGATGCCGGTGTTGGTAGTGATGATGACGATGCTGAGTTTGCTGATGCGGGTGATGTTGATGATGGTGTTAATGGTGTTGATGAAGGTGGTGGAGATGATGATCGTGCTTGTGATAGTGGTGTTGGCGATGATGACGGTGATGATGATGATGAAGATGGTGATGATGATGAGGTGCGTGCTGCTGATGATGATGATAAAGGTGGGCATGCTGACGGTGAGCATGATGTTGCTGACCGTGATGGTGGTGATGTTGATGATGTTGTTGGTGATGATGGTGGTGATGGTCGTCGTTGTGATGATCATGTTGGTGTGGATGATGGTGGCTGTTGCGGTAATGATGACAGTGGTGATGTGGATGGACATGATGATGATGATGATGATGATGATGATGATGTTGATTTTGACGGTGGCGATGAGGCTTCCGATGATGGTGGCGGTGGTGATGATTATGGTGATTATCGTGATGATGATGGTGGTGATGATGGTGGTGATGGTGAAGGCGGTGGTGATGGTGATGGTGCTAATGGTGTCGCTGATGGGGGTGCGTGTGATGACGCTGGAGCTGACGATGCTGATGGCTTTGGTGATGGCGATAATGAGAATGATGATGACGTTGGTGGTGATGATGATGTTGATGGTGATGCAGGTGGTGGTGATAATAATGCAACGTGTAATGATGATGACGTCGATGATGATGGATTTGACTGATGGTGATGGTGGTGTCGATGTTGACGACGATGACGGTGATGTTGATGCTCGCGATGATGACGGTGAGAACGGTTGTGACGATGATGCGGATGATGAGCACGATGATCATGCTGTTGGTGGTGGTGATGATAGTGGTTGTAATAATGATGCCGATGCTGGTGCTGGCATTCGTGGTGATGATGATAGTGATGATGATGGTGATGGTGATTGTGATGCTGGTGGTGATGCTGATTGGTCGTGATGATGATGGTAACGAAAACCATTATAAAGATGAACATGATGATCGAAGTGATGATGGTGATGACGTTGGTGATGCTGATAATGATGATGTTGGTGGTGGTGACGATGAGAGGGGTGATGATGGCGGTGGCGATGATTATGTGGATTTTGAAAGTTGTGGCCGTGAACATGGGGATTGTGTTGGTAGGAAGGATGGTGATGATGGGCATGCGGATGGTGGCGATGATGGCGTTGGTGACGATGGTGATGATGATGTTGGTGATGATGATGATGGCGTTGGGGATGATAACCATGATGATGGTGGTTGTGGGGTTTGTGCTGATAGTGGAGGTGGTGATGAGGATAGTGGAGATGATCATGATGCTGGTGGTGGTGATGGTGATGGTGGTGGTGATTGTGATGGTGGTGGTGATGATGTTGATGATTATGATGGTGATGGCAGAGTTGATGATGACTGTCACTGTGGTTGTGCTGATGGCCATGAAGTTGATGATATGTTCGGTGATGATGGCCCTGTAAATTCTTGCCTTGCGACGGTGTTGGTGGTGGTGATGATTGTGGTGGTTATGATGATGCTGATGATGGTAGTGCGAGGCGCAGTGATGACTCAGCAGGGTCTCAGCGATGTCGTTCGCCCAACCCGTCGATTTGCGCTTCAAGTTAGAAGGTGGTCTGGGGCTCTTGCGGCGGGGCAGGCCCAGAGTGAGCGGCGCTGCTGCTGGAGTCGGTGCTCCGCGCCGCGGTGGCAGCGTGGCTGCACTCGGGTGGCCTTCGTGGACGACGACGCGGACCGAGCTGGTGAGGCTGGCGTCGGGATGCGTTGTGGTTCGTGAAGTCTCCCGACTGCAGCATCTGCGTGGACTGCCGCGATTTGGAGTAGATGCAGGGGCGCCGCAGGACGGCATTCTTACGGCCAGGCTACGTGGGTCAGCACCAGACCAGGCGGACATCGAGCGCGGGGGGCGCGTGACCTGATCACGTTTGGCGGCATTGCGACGTCGCCGCGGTGGGGATGCGGAGATGTAGGGAGGGGCGCCGCGGCAGGTCGGTCGCGAGTCACGACAAGCCTGCGAACGCGAGCCCATCTGTGTCCGTCCACCCCTGGTGGCCCTTGTTGCACGGCAGCGAGTGCGAGAGGCGGTTCGAGGCCATCCCGACCCGCCCGCAGAGCGAGCCGGCTCCAGGGGCCCCCGGCGGCATTTTTTTGTTTTGAGAGGGCCGCTAATTTGCCAGCCTCTATGGCGGCAAAGGCGCCTGCGGCCGCGCGGCCGAGCCGAGCCGCTCTCCTGCTGGATGTTCTGGCGCGTGCAGCGGGGGTCAGGGGGCCTCTTGCCGCCGAGCGCGTTCCAATGCTCGCAGAGTGCCTGCTCGCAAACGTCCGAAAAAAACCGGTCTGCCTCGATGTAATTTATCGTGACCCCCCCGCGGCGGATCCAGGCCATTTGCGAGTAGCTACTTTGCGAGTAGCGGAACGCGCTCAACGATCTTGAGATCCGAGGTCCTCTGCAGCGTGCTTTCGGACATTCGCCCGGCAGAATTCCCGGGGTAGTGCCGGGGCCTCCGCGCACTAGCTCCACTAGCTCCAGCACTGCTGAGAGTCAGGGTCATTTAGGAGGGGAACAAACACAGACACAATTAATCGTCGATTCCCCCGGCAAGTATTGGAAAATATGGGAAGCTGGGGGGGAAGACGGGAACCCAGAAAATCTTTAAAGATACGGGGAATCCTATTATGTGTGTATTTATTTGTGTGTCCCAGGGCCCCTTCAGTCATGTTTGGCGGAACCCCGCGTGCCCGATGGGATGGCCAGGGCCAAATGCTTGTGGTCCGTTCCAGGTGGGCCTCGGCAGCCGCTTGACGGAGGCAGTTGCGCGAATCACCCGAGGCGGTCGAATGTCGGGCGGCGCCGTGGATCGTCGATAGCCCACATTTCTCATGCTTCTGTGCCGAACGCCTGCGACGCAGGCCTTCTCTCAGGGGCCACGAGTTTGTTTGTTTCAAGTCGTGACGGGCTCTTGCCAGTTCGGAACCAGATGGAGAAAGAAACATCGTTTCCTCTGCGGCCAGGCTGATGAGCTCGACACTGTTAGATTGTCTGGTCGGCGTCAGGCCTCGGGCACGTGCCCACGCGCACTGGGCGGCTTCGTTTTACACACGAAGGCTGCGCCCACAACGGACCTAGCTGGACCCGCATAGCTCAGCAGTGTCTGCCGTTTCTGTGCAGATCGTTGGTGCATGCCCTCCTGGCCAACACCATCGCGTCGCGTCCCTTTTCAATTCCTTCTCCTAGTCCGAGAGGGCACCCGAGCTTGGCATGAATCGGGATTGCAGGCTTTGGGAATTAAGCCTTTCGTTGTGTCTGTCAACCGTATCGCTGGCCTTTCGTTGCGGGAGCCGCCGCAACATTATTTCTAGACATCACCGCTGGTGATAAGCCATGTGCAGCATCATGATGGTGATCATGATGGCGATGATGGTGGTGATTGTGATGTTGGTGATGATGACGATGATGATGATGATGATGATGATGATGATGATGATGATGATGATGATGATGATGATGATGATGATGATGATGCTGAGGATGATGGTGATGATGGTGATTCTGACGTCGACGAGGGGGAGGATGAAGATGATCATGATGGTGTTGATGATGTTGTGGGTGATGACGATGAGAAGGAGGAGGAGGAGGAGGAGGAGGAGGAGGAGGGAGGAGGAAGATCTTTTGGAACTGGTGGGTCGAGACCGCTTTTGCTTCAAATGTCGTTGTCGGTCGCGACTGATTTGCTTCAAGATCGGTCGCGACCATTCGGTCGCAACCGATCGGTCGCCACCGGTCGCGACCGATTCTGGAATCGGCCCCGATCGGTTGCGACCGATCATGGGTGCCTATCGGTCGCTTCCGATCGCGGCCGTAAGAATTTGGGTCCAATGAGCTGGGCAGGATCGGACGGGGCTAGGACGAGGATGAATCCGTTCCAGAACGTTCCGGAGCGCTCTCAGAGCGTTCCGGATCCGATCCTCCAGGTCCACCGG